GTCAATTTCAGCCTCCATAATGATTCGTAAAGACGGGATCTCAATCTCTGCAGGTATAACTGCCTCAGTCCCGTATACTAGTGAATATGGGGTAGCGCCCACTAACGAACGGACTGTAGTGCAATAACCCAACAAAGCAAAAGGCAACTTTTCATGCCATTGTGGAGAACTTTGCACCATCTTACGAAGTATCTTTTTTATATTTTTGTTAGCAGCTTCCACAGCCCCGTTTGCCTTTGGGCAATACAGAGTCGAATTTCGATGATCAATCTTAAATCAGTGGCATACCTCTTGCATCAAATGGCTGTTGAGATTTGCGGCATTGTCACTTATAATCACCTTTGGAATACCGAACCGAAAGATGATGTTGAAATGGATGAAATCCACCACGACCTTCTTGGTCACTGACTTGAAAGTTACTGCTTCCACCCACTTTGTAAAATAATCAATAGCCACTAAGATGAACCTGTGACCATTCGATGCTTTTGGTTCTATCGGTCCAATCACATCTATTCCCCATGCCACGAAAGGCCATGGAGCAGACATTGCATGCAACTCAGAAGGGGGAGAATGTATTAAATCACCATGTATTTGACATTCATGACATTTACGAACAAATCGTATGGAATCCCGCTCCATGGTGAGCCAATAATACCCTGCTCGAAGTATCTTCTTGGCTAGAACATATCCATTCATATGAGGTCCACAAACTCCTGAGTGTACTTCAATCATGATTGTGGAAGACTCTTGAGCATTTACACACCTTAGAAGACCTAAATTGGGTGTCTTCTTGTACAGTATGCCTCCGCTTAAGAAAAAACCCCTTGCTAGTCATCGAATAGTCCTTTTTTGATTACTAGTTACATCTAACGGACATTCTCCAGACTGAAGATAAGTTTTGATATCATGAAACCAAGGCTTACCATAAAATTCCTCCTCAATCATGTTGCAATAGGCATGTTGATCACGAATTTGTATGTATAAAGGGTCGATATGGGCGTCATCAGGGTGTTGGAGCATCGAAGATAAAGTGGCCAATGCATCTTCAATCTCATTGTGCATTCTGGGAATGTGTCTAAACTTTATCGACACGAATCGTTGACAAAGACCTTGTAAACAATGTTGATATGGTATGAGCTTTGGGTCTCGAGTTTCCCATTCTCCTTGAATTTGATGAACTAGTAAGTCTGAGTCTCCTAACACTAACAATTCTTGGATGCCCATGTCAACAGCTAACCTCAGACCCAAAATGCACGCTTCGTACTCAGACATATTATTAGTACAATAGAATCTAAGTTAGGCAGATATGGGGTAATATTCCCCTGGTTCAGACATAAGAACAGCTCCTATTCCAACTCCTTTCCTGTTAGAGGCACCATCAAAGAATAACTTCCAACCTTGATCGTTATCATGAATAACTTCATCGATACAAGATATCTCTTCATCTGGAAAATAGGTTTTAAGCGGTTCATATTCTTCATCAATAGGGTTCTCTGCCAAATGATCTGCCAATGCTTGAGCTTTCATTGCGGTCCGCGTTATATAAATAATGTCAAACTCTGTGAGCAATATTTGCCATTTCGCAAGCCTGCCTGTGGGCATGGGCTTTTGAAAAATATATTCCAACGGATTCATACGAGAGATGAGATAAGTAGTGTAAGACGAAAGATAATGTTTCAACTTCTGTGCTACCCAAGTTAGGGCACAACACGTTCTTTCAAGAAGGGTATACTTTGCTTCGTAAACGGTAAATTTCTTGCTGAGGTAATAAATGGCCCGCTCTTTCTTCCCAGCGTCATCATGCTGACCCAGTACGCAACCAAAAGAATTATCAAGTACTGACATATACAATATCGAAGGTCTTCCCGGCTCTGGAGGAACCAACACAGGGGGATTTGATAGGTAACTCTTAATTTTTTCAAAAGCTTGTCGACATTCTTTGGTCCACTCGACTGTGGCATTCTTTTTCAACAACTTAAAGATAGGCTCACAAGTTGTTGTGAGTTGAGCAATGAATCTGCTGATGTAGTTTAACCTTCCTAGAAGGCTCATAACCTCAGTTTTGTTCTTTGGAGGTGGCAATTCTTGGATTGCTTTAATCTTTGAAGGATCCAACTCGATACCTCTTCGACTGACTATAAACCCCAAAAGCTTCCCCGACGGTACTCCAAATACACATTTTGCAGGATTAAGCTTGAGATTGTACCTGCGGAGCCTTTCGAAGAATCTCCTTAAGCCTTTCACATGATCTGACTATTTTTTAGATTTAATGATAACATCATCCACATAAACTTCGATTTCTCTATGCATCATATCATGAAACATGGTTGTCATTGCTCTCATATAAGTAGCCCCTGCATTTTTTAATCCAAAAGGCATAACACGATAACAATATGTACCCCATGGAGTGATAAAAGATGTTTTTTCTGCATCTTCATCATCCATAATAATCTGATGGTAGCCCGCATAACAATCCACAAAAGATGCAACCTCATGTTTAGAAAAATTATCCAATAAAATATGGATGTTAGGCAAAGGAAAATCATCTTTTGGACTTGCCTTATTCAAATCACGATAATCAACACACATTCGAACTTTGCCGTCTTTCTTAGGGACAGGTACGATATTGGCTAACCAAGAAGGATATTGAGCGACTTGAACGACTTTAGCCTCAAGTTGTTTTGTGATCTCCTCTTTAATTATCACACTCATGTCGGTTTTTAGTTTTCTTAACTTCTGCTTTATCGGAGGAAAATTGGGATCAATTGGCAACTTGTGAACAACCATGTCCGTGCTTAATCCAGGCATGTCATCATAAGATGACGCAAAAATATCTTTGTAATCAAACAAGGCCTGGATTATATCGTCCTTTTGATGTTGACCATGTACACTTATCTTAGTCTCTTTAATAATTTCCTGATCCCCCAGATTTATTGTCTCAGTTTCATTCATGTTTGGATTTGACTTATTTTCAAAATGATTGAAATCCCTCCTTACTTCTTCAAATACTATGTCTTCATCATGTTCGATTTCTTGACTTATTATTTCAATATTAGGTCGAAGATTAGATTGGATATTAAGATCTGGTGAAAAATTCTGCATGCATGTCATATCACTAGAATCGGCATAGAAAGAACTGTATAAAAGAAAACAAACAAATATATTAGACTGAAATAAAGATGCAATTACATCCTATTGAAAAGTGAGATAGAATGTTTGAAATAAACGACAAGATAAAATCCGAATTACAATCCTTGAATGAATCGGATGATAAAAGAAAAAACAAGACAGACTACCAAGACTCGTCTTTAACGGGGAAAGGGGTGGCCTCCCAATTGTTTAGATTGACATCAGGACCAATGAATTGCACATCTTTGTCGCTAGTGCCTTCTCCGAGTTCCACCATATCAACCTCGACAAATAAATCTTGAAAATAGTTGATCATTTCTTCGCTAACTTTCATCACTGGCTCTGGAAAAGATGATTAATAAGATTCTGTTGCGCAGGCTTTGATGAAAGATTTGTAGATTGGTTGTATAGGCTTGGTAAGTGACCATACATCTCTCTTCTGCTTCTTTGCCTTCATTTTGTCCTCGACTCTAGGCTGGTAGCCTAAGCCAAAAGTACCGATGCTCTTTGGTAGACTCACAGGATAAGCTCTTTCTTGCAAGCAAATTCCTAAGCCTTTACCCGGCTCAAACCCATGTTTCAGCAATTCATTCACTAGCATTACAGACGCGATGGATATATTTGGTTTTGGAATGACACTCCCCTCGGGGACATGCTCAATAACCACTACCTCAGAAGCCTGATAAACTAGTGCCTCATTCTCATTATCCGCATTGATAAAAGGGAAGGAAGAGTCTTTGTAGATTGACAAATCCCCCTCACCATGAACAATTACCTCTTGTCGGTCGTGTTCAAACTTAATCATTTGATGCAACGTTGAGGGGACGACTCCAGCCTTATGCACCCATGGCCTCCCCAACAATAGATTGTAGGACGTGTTGATATCCAACACTTGAAAATTCACAGCGAAATCCACAGGCCCTATGGTTAGTACGAGCTCTGTCTCACCAATAACATCTGTTTTTGACCCATCAAAAGCTCTAACACATACATTGTTGGGTCGGACCCTTTCAGCACAAACATTAAATTTCTATAGAGTTGATGAAGGACAAATATTTGCTCCAGATCCTCCATCAATTAGAACTCGAGTGACATATGAAAGCTCACACTTTACAGTGATATGTAGGCCTTGGTTATGTCCTGTGCCTTCTTTGGGTAGTTCATCATCCGAAAAGGTGATGCGGTTTACCTCAAATATTCTCCCAGCAATCTTCTCTAACTGACTCACTGTAACTTTACTAGGAACATGTGCTTCATTCAAAATTTTCATTACAGCCTTACGATGTTCATCAGAATGTATTAGCAAAGACAACAAAGAGATTTGGGATGGAGTTTTTCTTAATTGTTCCACCACGGAGTAGTCTGATAATTTCATCTTCCTTAGGAATTCCTCTGCCTCTCCTTCAGTGACCGGACTCTTCATTTGTATTTGGTCATTTTTAGTTTTCCTTAATTCCACCGGGACATAACATCTTCATGAACGGGTTATTCCTCCTATTTCATCAATTTCTTCATCATTTTTTTTCCTTGTATGTCACGACAGTAGGCTCATAATTCCAAGGAACAGCTTTGGGGTTAGTCATTGGGAGCTGGGATACTGGCTTGATAATCACCGGAGGAATATGGGCCCCTCGCACGATCAAGATAGACTTGTTTGGCCCTTTTGGAACAAACGATTTTGCCTTACTCGGACTTGCCCAAACATCTTCAAGGGCTCCTTTCACAGTTAAAATGGGTGTGTTTGATGGACTGAACTTTTCTAACACACTTTCCGCCCCTAAAGGCATCGTTTTTGTTAAATCAACAACATTTGCTGACTTCTCAATGCCATTTCCAACCCTAAGGATTGGCTTATAAGGAGATGCAAACTCTTAATGACCCTTCATCATTTCCAGCATGTTTGTTTCAGGATGCCTCGGCGATGGATTTTGATTGATGTTTGGTCCACTCGGACTTTCAACTATAATTCGATTAGAATCGATCAAATCCTGAATGGCCCTTTTCAAATACCAACATCTCTCTATGTTGTGCCCTGGGGCATTAGAACAATATGCGCAATGTTGAGAATAATCCAAATTTCTCGGGGGAGGATTCGACATCTTTCTCTCAATAGGACTCAAAACATTCAATGTCCTTAATTTTTGAAACAAGCTAGCATACGACTCCCCAATAGGAGTGAACTCACCTTTAACACCATTTCCCTTTTTGTATTGTGGTCTAGGATGGAAAGGAATTCTAGCAGTGTTTTGATGAACTTGAGGGGGTGGTGGATGATTTTGTGGAGTTGGTGCACGCCATTGTGGATAAGAAGGGGGTGCAATTGGTTGTGCATTAAAAACATGATATGGAGTGTATGGCATAGAATATTGCGGAGCTTGGGAACGAAAATAGTGTTGTGGGGAATTACCTAGAACATGAGTCCTAGGCGCTGATACAATAGTGGCCACATCGTCCCTTCTCTTCTTCCCTCCAATATTTCCAGAACCATTTTGAAGCACTTGTGTTGTGGCTTTTAGGGAAGCCTGACTTACAATCTTTCAAGACTTGATGCCATTTTCCACCATTTCCCCCACCTTAATAACTTCAGCGAATGTTTTCCCTATAGCAGAAAGCAGATAGTGAAAGTAATCAGGTTCTTGCGCCTGGAGAAAAACGTCAATCATCTCTGACTCCTTCATCGGTGGTTTAACCCTAGCAGCTTGTTCCCTCCATCTGATAGCATATTCACGAAAATTTTCTGTGGTCTTCTTCTTCATGTTAGCTAACGAGGAGCGATCTGGGACAATGTCAATATTATATTGGAATTGCTGTACAAAACATCGAGCCAAATCATCCCATGTGTGCCAGTTGGTGATATCCTGATCTATGAACCATTCAGATGCAATCCCTACTAAGCTTTCCCCAAAATAGGCCATAAGTAACTCTTCTTTGCCCCCTGCGCCCCTCAATTGGTTGCAATATCTCTTTAGATGAGCTATGGGGTCTCCGTGACCATCATATTTTTCAAACTTTGGAGTTTTAAAACCAGCAGGTAAATGGACGTGAGGAAACATACACAAGTCACTGAATGAGATGCCTTTGTGGCCTCCTAGTCCTTGCATATCTCTTATACTCTGTTCCAAACTCTTCATTTTCTTAGTCATTTCTTCATGTTCCTCATTCTTGACCATCCTCTCAATTTCAACAGGGGAACTATATTGATGAATGTGGGGATGAGAACTTGGAATTTTAATGGTCTCTTCAAGAGTGTAACTCTGCTCACGCTGAACTTTGGGCGGAGGATCGCTGTTGGATTTGGGAACCATCGTTGGCTGCGGGATGCTGTTAGTCGGGGCAGTTGACACAAAGAGTGGATTACTTATTACAGGCGTATTCGAAGGGCGCGCCATTGAAGTTCCAGCGACATTGGATGTGTTAGCATAGGGGTCGAATCCAGGGGGATATATCGGATCGCTTGTCGACACCTGGATAGGGTGAGACATACTTGTATTAAAATAGTCTCGGATTGAATATGGTGGAGGTTGTCCACTCATCCAAGCCTCGTACATCTCTGCCATTTGTTGTCTTAACACCCTTATCTCTTCTGTTGTCCCTGTTTCTTGTGAAGTCATCTGGTTTTGGATCTCCTTATCATTGTCCGATTCATTTCCGTCTCTGGGGCCATTTTCTGTTTCCCTTTCGATCTTGTGTTGTAAGGATGTGATGCCAGTTTAACCACAAACCAACCACCTTTAAGCTAGTATGTCTCTCTCTCTTTCTCTCTCTATCTCTCTCTCTCTCTCTCTGAATAGAGTAATAAACCGATTAGTGTTAAGAAATTATGCACATTACATCCACATACATACTTCTAATATGGAGGACCTCATGTTTCATCCCGGCTTACCTAGGCATTCTTCTCTTCATTAGTTTTTTAATATTTTATTATTATTACTTATTTATTTACATATTTGTTTATTTATTTATTCTCATTATGATTATCATTTTTTATTATGATTATCATTTTTTAAGAGAAAGAAGAAAGAAAGAAAAGAAAAGGAAAAATAATAATAATAATAATAATGATAATAATTTGGATCGAACCCCCCTAGGTTGCCTACGTATCATGTTTGGCCCATGAATCAGATCTTGCGTAGTTCGAGAAAGATATTAATAATAATTTTTTTAATTTACCTTTTTTTTTGCATGACATATGCACACAAGGTGATCTAAAGTAAATCTTTTTCATTCATTTTCAAATATTTGAAACAATGATTTGGATAAAACAAACAAAAAAAACAGAAGTACCTAGGACTTAGATAGATTCTAAATGAAATAAAATAACAAAACGAAAAGAAAGAGAAAAAACTAAAAATAATAATAATAATGAAATAATCACTACTAAGAGAATAGACTCTAAAAGAAACCGAATCCTCGAATCCCAATCATCTCCAAGGCCCTTCTAAATCTTCGCCAACGCTTTCGGTAGATATGGAGCCAAAGCACGGGCCTGTTGGCCCAACCTCTCATCGTTCTGGTGTAAATATCTAGCATAAACATTGTTGAGTTCATCCCTGAGTTGCAGTATTCGGTCTCTAGCTTCATCCATATTGTCATAACAATTCTGTAACCACTGGTGAGCAGTATTGACTTCATGCGTCAAATTTTCCCTTTGTTCTTGGAGCTCTTCAATTTGAAGGTGGAGTGCATCTCACTCGGCTATCCTTTGACCTCTCTCAATCTCACAGTCTGCCTGATAAGCACTGAAACGCCTTGCTATTTCTCTTTCTCGTTCCATAGAGGCTTTAACTTGAGTTTGGAGCCTAGACTGTGCGCAGATAAGTTGGGCCTTTTCTTTCTTATCCTCTTCCTGTTGCTCCATAGCGCCTGTGGCATTGCCCAAATCTTCTTGTAAGGTTAGAATGGTCGAGCGGTGTTTTCTAACTCTAACTTTAAATATCGCATCACGTTGGGCCAACTCCTCTTTAGCGTTTTTTAGGTCATTACTTAGGATATCCAGAGTAGACTTGTAGCTTCTTTCGACTTTGAGTCGAGCTTGCTTAATCTTAACCTCAACTTCTGCTTCTCGATCTATAGGTCCTTTTATTGACCCTTCTGGCATAACCTTAGGAAGGGGCTGATCATGAACCCAGTCTAAGTATGCTTGGTCCACCTCGCCTCTTGTGCGATCCTTCACCATATCGTGGGGACTCGAGAGTATGCATCCCCCCCAAATCTTAAATATCTCTGATTGCCTTAAAGGTATCTTGGGATGAAACTCATACATGAATTCACGCATATCTTCATTGGGTGGTATAAACTGGCGTCGCCCAAGTTGTCACATGACTCTAAGTGGCATGTAAGGCTGGACACCTCGAAGACCCATTAGGACAATGAACGATCAAAAAGTAGACATGTATATCACCTCGGCCGACGGAAACCAATGATAATTCCACACAATATTGTCAGCAGTCGACCCGGCACCTACCGGGTGAGACTCCCGTCAGATTATTGAGGTGTTGCTTCCAAGCTTCAATACCCTTCAGAAAACTATGATGTTTGATTCTTTCTTTGTGGCCTCCAATATAATCATTCCATTCTTCTTTAAAATCCACTGCATAAGGGTGATGACGAATGTGTTCAATCATCCATAGTTGTAATAACATATTGCATCCCTCAAAGTAGTCTTTTCCATCCTTGCACATAGTTAAAGCACGATAGATGTCTGCCAGAATCATTGGTACGAGGGTGATATTAGGCTTTTTCTCAAAAGTTGTAATGACTGCAGCTAAGTTCATGCTAATCTTTCCTCCCTTTTTTGGAAATACCATGATCCCCAAAAAAGCCACCACGAAGGCATCATAACTGTGTGCTTCCCAGGTCAGACGACACCCATTATTACGGAGTTTCTTTCCATACACTTCGAATCCATCACTTTTGCCATATCTTTTGTACAAAAATTCTAAAGGAACCCATCCATTATCGAGACAACCACCTATATCATTCTCATTTATATGCAATAATTCTAGAAACCTCCTCCCATTAATATGTTTTGGTATCATAGGCTCTTCTATGTGAAGATGTTTACCCTTTCCAATGAATGCCCCTATCTCCTCAAGGGTGGGGGTGAGTTCACAATCAGAAAAACGGAATACATTCCTTAACGGGTCCCAAAAATGCACTAGTGCTTCTATCAAATCCCGTCGTGGCTCAACATACAAAAGGCTTCGTAGAAATCCCAAGCGCTTGAACACCATTCCTCGTCCATGGTTTGTCATGTTTTCATACCATGTCTTCAAGAGTGTTGGGGCCTTATCCACTATCATGAATCGAGGTGATTGGTCCTCTCTTTGTCTCTTATCTCCCTTTCCATATGAATTCATATTTCCCTATATTAGGATAGTGACAAACTAGGCTTAATAATATATATATTTTTTAACAAGAATAACGGAAAAATCAAACACACAAAAAAAAGTAAATTTTTTTTTATTTTAAAATATATTTTTTAAATAAGAATAAGTAAAAATCATACACACACAAAAAAAGCAAATTTTTTATTATTATTTTTTTAATAAAATAGTCTTACACACACAAAAAAAAAAAAGCAATTTTATTTTTTTTTTTATTTTTTATTTTTATTTATTTGTTTTTTTTTAAAAAAATAGTTATTAAAGGAAGAATGAGAAAAAAAATATATATATACAAATAGCCCTTAAAATTTTTCAAAACTAAAAATATTAATATGTTCGATTGTATTTTATTTTTTGTTGATTAAATTTTCAATCTTTTTTTTATTTTTAAATATATAGAGAAGCTTTGATGGTAATAATAGATTTTTCTATTTGTAAAAGAAATGTGAATTTTGATAGAAAAAGCTGTGTTTAATGAAAGAATTACGTCAAAACTTTAATTTGGTATTTTTCGTTATAATTAATTTTTCATTATAATTCATTCATCTAAAGCCGATCAATATTTGTATAGTCTTCCCCATAATGCAACAAATAACACAAAATAATGTACATGATAGTCTCAAGTAGGGATACTTCTCCTAGACAGGCTCGACCCTTGTGTCGAGCTCCCCATTAATTCAACATTATGCATGATACAGATTAATCGAATCCTATTAGGGATAGTCATTGTTGAGGCTTGTTTTACTAGGTAAACAATCTAATAGGGAAGGTGTCTAGACTAGCCATAAAACGAGCGGACTACTCGAGTCTAGAAGGGACAGCTTACCAGTAGCAGGGCTTTCTGGCCTCACTGTTAGTCCTTCCTATCCTAAGACATGTGTTACTATAGAATCCTTCCCAAGAGCGTTGCCGCATCTCTGGTATCTCATTGCTCGGGAGCGTAATCGCATCTCCGAATAAAGTATCTCAGAAGACTCAGATGGATGCGCGAGGAAAGACAATTATACGATAGTTAACATATTATCAAAAGGGTAAATAAGCAAGCCAATAACATATTATGCAATTAAACACAATATTCACAAATCGATAAGTACGTAAATACACAATAAAGTCATGTAGAAGTCCATGTTTACAAGCTCGAATTCTATTCCCCAGCGGAGTCGCCAGAGATGTCACACCCCTTTTTCGCGCAGCGGCGTAAGGGTTTTTCCAATTTAAGTGACGTAATTAATTAGGGGATTATTTTAGCTTTTTCAGAGTCGCCACTCGGAATTAAGTTATGGTGTTCCAAGTCACCTTTTATTTAATCCCTAATCAAAAGGAAATGACTCTTTGTTTGGTCTGCGAACGAGTTCGGGTAAGGAATTCTATTGACCGAGGGGAAGGTATTAGGCATCCCTCGAGTCCCGTGGTTCTAGCACGGTCGCTTTATGGACATTCATGACTTAAACTAATTTATGAATATTGTATTATTAAGACAAATATGTTTACCCACATTTTTTTATTTATATTAACATATTTAAAATTGCACTATTTTATAGACGTGAAGTTTTTACACATTTTTATTAAATTTTTTTTCATGCTTTCAACATTTGCATGCTTATTAATTTCTCTCTTTTATTTATTTTATTTGTTTTTTAATACTAATTTTCACATTTTTTTTGTTTGTTTAACTTTTCTTTTTTTTATTTTTTTTTACAATGATTTTCTTCTTTTCTTTTCTTACTCTTTTAATATTTTTTTTAATATTTCACATATTTTTTACACTATACTTTTTGTATCTTTTCATTTTTAAAGTATTTTTTTTGTGTACATTTTTACATTCTTTTTATTATATATTTACTTTTTATTTTTTATTATTATTTTTCTAATTCGAACATTCCTTCTTCACTACCTTTCTTTTCTTTTCTTATTCACGTATTCTACCTCTTTTCGTTATTCCATTTTTATTGTTATTATTTTTTATTTATTTTACCTTTTTTCTTTCAATTTATTATCCTCTCCTAACAAGTCTATTATTATTTGTTTTTTTATAGAATCTAAAAATAATAATGTAAGACAACACATATAATATAATATAAAATATAATTTAATACATTTCTAAACACAACCAAACAAAAAATTCATTCAAATTAGTAAGACATGAAAATAAAAATTTGGATAACTATACATATTATCATTAGAATTATAATAACTACACATATTATCATTAAAAACTAAACATGAAAAATAAGAATAAACTTAGACAATAATTTTATTTAGGCATGAAATAAACTATGAATTATTCAATATGAAATAAACTACGATTTGTTATAGCAATTTCACACAAAATAAAACTATATAAAGGATCTAAACATAAAGTTGATATTAAATATTTGAACAAACTTCATATAAAACATAACGGTTTAACCACATGTGAAATTTGACAACTTTAATATATGGTAATCAGTGCTTGTATAAACACGATATTAAATTGTATAAAAAATAATAAAAAGTGATACCTCTTGCGAAAATTCCACCAAAAGAAAACAATTCGAATCAGGAACCGCGAAAATAGACCTCAACTTCAACCTTTTTTGTGAGTCAAAAGCCAAATATGTGAATATATTTATTGATTTTTGTTTGTGGAAGAGTCTTTTTTTTTTGTTTGTATTTTTTCTTTTCACCCTTTTTCTTTCTTTCTATCTTTTTTTTCCCTTCTCGTCTCTTCTTCTTTCTGATCTTTTTCTCTTTCTGATCTCTTTTTTGTTTGTCTTTTTGTGTTTATTGTAGTGAGTGCGTGTGTGGGACGTGGGGGTAATGGGTAAAGTGGGGGGTAATGGGATTTTTTTTTACTTTTTTTTTATATTAAATATATATGAAATGATAACCATATAATTATTAATTGTTTTGAGTAAATAAATAAATAAAATCTAAATGGATAATAATAAATATATATATATATATATATATATATATATATATATAACAATCAAAAATAAACTTTTCTAATAAAAAGTATATTTACGTTGTTTATTTTTATATCTTTTAAATAAACTTAATGAAAATAATAAAAAGTCAAAATATATTTAATATAGATTGATAAAATTATTTACGCTCTAAAAATTGGTGTTAAATTTAAATTCGGTCAAAATTACGTGTCTACAATAGGAAAAGAATTATTAACATAGATTTAGTGTATATACTATCTAATAGGCTA